AAGGTTTATATATGTTGGTTGCCAGGGGTGGGAGGGGAGGGGAGGGGAGGGAACACTGCAAAAAAAAAAAAAAAATGCATTGACCCATGTCACTTTGTTGTTGTGTATTTCACTGTACATAAATTACATTTCAATAAAATGCATTTTAAAATAATAATGAATAAATTTAAAAAATCAAAGCAAACCCATTCCCACTGAGTTGATTCCAACTTATGGCAAGCAACCCTAATAGGACAGAGTAGAACTGCCCCTGCCACTGGCTGTAAATCTTTACGGAAGTAGATTGCTACATCTTTCTTCTGGGAAGCTGCTAGTGGGTTCAAACAGCTGACCTTTCACTTAGCGGCTGAGTGCTTAATCACTGCATCACTAGCACTCCTTCCTCAAAGATTACAGCCAAGAAAACTCTGTGGAGCAGTTCTACTCTGTAACACATGGGGTCTCCATGAGTTGGACTTAACAGCAGTGGGTTTGGTTGGGTATTAACCTGTATATTTTTACTATTTTATTTTTATCATAATGTGGCTGTATATATTACTATTTTACATTTTGCTTTATGAAACTAATGTATCTCAGATATTTTCATATTAATACATATAAGTCTGTCTCATTCTTTAAATAGTCATATTAAAATTTCATTGTATTGATATATTTCTTTAATCCCTACTGAACTGTGGGAATTATTTTCAATATTTTCTGAGAAACAGTGCATGTCTCTATACATACATCTCTAAAATGTTAGATATTTCTATTGAGTAAACTCTTTTGAAAATAAATTCCTAAAAGGAGAATTGTTAGGTCAGAGTACGTAAGTCTTTTAAATTACATATTGCCAAACTATAAGAAAGTTATACCTACTTACCCTTGTGCAAACCATGTCCTAAAGCCCTCTGTCTTTCTCTGCTCATCCCAGCTAGAAAATCGACTGGAAGAGTGGTTGGGGAAGATGCTGTCTGGCAGTGACTGGACACCCAATGCTCGGTTCATCATTCGTTCTTGGCTTCGGGATGGCCTCAAGCCACGCTGTATAACACGGGACCTCAAATGGGGAACCCCTGTGCCCTTAGAAGGATTTGAGGACAAGGTAAAAACACTCTAATCTTTATTCATATCCCAAATTATTCAGCCTTGGGTTTGAGACCCTTGGCTAGCAGAATAGATTGTTGACTCTTTCTTATATCAGTGTGTGATAGTGAGTTGGTGAGTTTTTTCTGCTTCTTTATCCTACCGTCTTTCCCTCTGATCCTCAGGTATTCTACGTCTGGTTTGATGCCACTTTTGGTTACCTGTCTATCACGGCCAACTACACAGACCAGTGGGAGAAATGGTGGAAGAATCCAGAGCAAGTGAGCAATTCTTGGTCAGCCTGTGTAGAGGGGGATGCTGGGTATCAGGGCTGGTCATCTGATCTTTCTTGAGCCTTTGAAAGTCTCAGGTTATCTCTTTCCCTGTGTACTTACTCCTTTAGGTGGATCTGTATCAGTTCATGGCCAAAGACAATGTTCCCTTCCATGGCTTAGTCTTTCCTTGTTCAGTTCTGGGAGCTGAGGACAACTATACCTTGGTCAGCCACTTAATTGCTACAGGTATTATGAAAACCAAGGTGGGGATTTTTCTAAGGGATGAGGTCTGAGATAGTACTGGAAGGAGATCCTATAGAAGTACTAGGTTTTGATTTGAGAGCTGAGACGAAATAGGAAATAATTAGAACAAGAGAATTCAGTCAAGGAAAAAGGAAACAGGAACCTGAAGAAAGCAAAGATCTAAAGCTACAACTTTGTAATGGAATGAGTATAAGCAAAGGGAAAAAAGCTAGGAGGGAGAGGAAAGGACTCCAAGTTCTGTGCAGGCCAGCTACTGAAGGAGGCATGGTGCCCATAGATGGTTGAGGTTGAGGGAGAAAAATGAGTTTTGGGTCAGAAATGGAAAGCATATGACTTGAGCAGATTTCTCACTCTCCTTCCCTATCCAGAATACCTTAACTATGAAGATGGGAAATTCTCTAAGAGCCGGGGTGTGGGAGTATTTGGAGATATGGCCCAAGAGACAGGGATCCCTGCTGACATCTGGCGCTTCTATTTGCTGTACATTCGCCCTGAAGGCCAGGACAGTGCCTTCTCCTGGACAGACATGCTGCTCAAGAATAATTCTGAGCTGCTTAACAACCTGGGCAACTTCATCAACAGGTAGGACTTGGTGAGGGGTCAGAATCAGCAGATAATGGGACCCACTTTGCTCCTGGGGGTGGGGATGCAGAGAGAGCTAGTAAATGTGCAGGAAGGCATAGGGTTGGGCAAGACAATGTTGAAAGTTCACTTCATTTCTATCAATGAAAATTTGCTTCTAGCACATAACAGGACAGAGTATGCTTGAGGGAACAGCTGTAGAAATAGGATTTAGGAAAGTTGGTCACATAGCCACTGTTGGCAAATTGTAGATGTGTTCTTTCCCAGTGAAAAAGTTCACCTGTAGCCTGCAGAAAAATTTGGCTAAAGAATGGGATTACTCTGATGTAGGGGTAGGAGGCTTCTGCTGCACTCTTGCGTTTTGTTACTTCGGGCTCACATTCTTCTATTGGTCTCTGTGCCATCTATCTTGAAATCTAAAGAAATATCCTCCCTTTGAGTCCTAGGCCTTTAGCTCAGTCCCACCATTTACCCTTTCAGGCTTTGTTGTCAACCACACTCAGATAGCCCTGACTGGAGTGTTCATTTGGTAGCAATGAACATACAACGTATTTTATCTTGATCATTCCAAGTGTTAACTTAATAATAATTGCTTAACTTTATCAAGTTTCTTTAAATAAAAGGGATGCTGTATGTGTAATGTCTGTTACATGTAGAGTCATATTCTTAGGGGAAAATAGAATAAGGAGTTAATTTGTTAAAACTTTACCTTCTAGCCTGAGGGAACCAGGTGGTGTCAGTTCTGGCCAGGAATCCTGAGAAAATGTAGAATGGTGGAAATTAGGTCAAATTTCTGTAAGGAGAATGGGCAGTGACTTTCCTTTTATCCTCCTCTTCTGCCCCAACGTCAAGAGCTGGGATGTTTGTATCTAAGTTTTTTGGGGGCTATGTGCCAGAGATGGTTCTTACCTCCGATGATCAGCGCCTGCTGGCCCATGTCACCCTGGAGCTCCAGCACTATCACCAGCTGCTTGAGAAAGTTCGGTAAGGAACCTGGACCTCTCCCCTAGCTCATCTGGTCTGCTGACATGCTAAGAACCCCATTCTAGGCCCTTACATGTTGGTCTACCTCCTCCCTTCCCAGGATCCGGGATGCCTTACGTAGTATCCTCACCATATCTCGCCATGGCAACCAGTACATTCAGGTGAATGAGCCCTGGAAGCGGATTAAAGGAAGTGAGGCTGACAGGTAGGTAAGGGGACAGGGTTGGCTACAGGAATAAAGTAGCAAGTAGGCTGTGTCTCCTGAAGTCTTGACTGGCATATTTTCTTCCCCAGGCAGCGGGCAGGCACAGTGACAGGCTTGGCAGTGAACATAGCTGCCTTGCTGTCCATCATGATCCAGCCTTACATGCCTACGGTTAGCACCACCATCCAGTCCCAGCTACAGCTCCCAACTCTAGCCTGCAGTATCCTGCCTATAAACTTCCTATGTACCTTACCAGCAGGACACCAGATTGGCACAGTAGGTTTCTGGGAGTTGGAAGAGCCAGACTCTCCTAAAATTCCTACCTTTGCCATTTAGCTTTTGGGGTGGGGTCAGAGATTTAAGATCTCTCCAGCTTTACTTTGGGACTCTCATAGTATTCTGTGAATCTCTTCTCTAGTCCCCTCCACTTTGCACTTAGGCTTGTTTCCGATCTAAAGTCCTTGGTATGGGTTCACAAGTCGAGAGTCATGTGTAGCTTCTGTGTCTGTGTCTTCATTGTTCATCTTGCCTGAACCTAGTACCTAGCACTTAAAACTGTTACACAGATGTTAAAGAAACACCATTGTCACTTGGCCTCTGTAATGCTAGCAGGCAGTGGGCAGGGAAAACACATGGTAGCTCTTTCCTCTTTGCCACAAGTGCATGATAAAGTTAAGTACATCCCTAAACTTCTGGGTGGACTTAGCATCATTAATCTTTCACTGTGTTAATACTTAAGGCTGTCGTAACAAATGCCACTATTTCTTAATTCTTTCCTGAAATCAGTAGATGTTTGCTCAGTATTATGCTCACATTTCTTCTAACCCTATTTAGGTTTCCTAAATGTCAGAGATTGGGGTTGGAGAGGTCCCCTTTAAGTCTTGTAAAGAGTTTTACTTCATCAGTAAATGACTCGGTAAGTTCTTTATGTTTTTTTCCCTGTATAGGTCAGTCCCTTGTTCCAAAAATTGGAAAATGACCAGATTGAAAGTTTGAGGCAACGCTTTGGAGGGGGCCGGGTGAGAAAACTACAGACTGCTCTTTCACCCCAGCAGCAGCCACAGTGCCATCTCCTTAATGTCTCTTACGTAGTCCTCACTCATTACTCTTTCCACCTTTCTGCCTGGCTGCTTCCTCACTTAATATTGTTTCTCTTTCCTGTCTTAGCTAGAAGAATCCTTGGAATTAAAGGTAATCACTTTCTCCCTGAGATGTTGTGTAAAACTGGAGGGCGGGGGACATTTATTGTAGGAGATGATAACTCTGTTGTTCTCCAGGTAAAAGCTTCCCCCAAGCCAGCAGTTGTAGAGACTGTTACAACAGCCGAGCCGCAGCAGATACAGGTACTGATGGATGAAGTCACAAAACAGGTATGAAGCTTAAGCGCTGTGGGAGACTAGAAAAACTGAATCCCAAGTCAGTCCTTTCCTGACCACACTGTTGTTACTCCTCCCACCCCCTTCTCTTAGGGCAACATTGTCCGAGAACTGAAAGCACAAAAGGCAGACAAGAACCATGTGGCTGCAGAGGTGGCTAAACTCTTGGAGCTAAAGAAACAGTTGGCTTTAGCTGAGGGGAAACTCCTTGATCTCCCTAAAGGCAAAAAAAAAAAGTGAAAGAGAATCTGGGTCACAGAAAGTCACTTTAATGGATATAGACAGTAATAAATAAATGTACAATCTCTATACACAAAGCTGAGACTGTTTCCTTTTATCTACCTTAAACCCTCCCTACTACTGAATACGAGGGGTTGAAGGTCACATTGGCACTGGTGAGAAGGTCATCAGTGGCCACTTTTGGGAAAAGTAGGTAGTGGCCTAAGGGAGAAATGATGGTCCCAAATGTTCATGCTTGATGTAGATTAACCATTCGGTCAATCAGGGCTCGACGAGTTGCCTCTACTTCCCCGGTCAGGCGCTCAATTTCCTGCTTGAGTCGTTCATTCTCTTCAGCTAGCTGTGCTACTTTCCTTTCATTCTCCTGTTCTTTCTCCTTCATGCGGTGCTTCCCAGCCCGAGCTGGGGACTGGCCACTGTGTTTCCGTTTCCTCGGTCTTCTTTGCTCTTCCTCTTCTTCCTCCTGAGCCAGTGAGCTCTGACTGGAATCTGGAGACTGAGGGCTCTGTGAAGTGCTTGTGACCTCTGCTGGCCCTGGCTCCTCAGTCAGCCAAGCCAGAGAGGCAGGGTCAAGAGTCGTAAAGGTTTTTGATTCTTCCTTCAAGGAAATAAGGAAAGGTAGGTTGTTAGCTGAGAAGGGAAGGGCAACATCCCTCCCTAGCTGTAGGCTTAGCATTCTTACCTCCTCATGTCCCGGGGGTGAGACATAGGTCCCCCCATTTTCATCTGAGGACAAGACCTCTTGCAGGTCCTCATACCAGGCTTCCAGCTCCCAGCTGGACAGTGTCCCAAAGGAGAAAGGCAATGACTCAGCTTCCATCTCTGCAGCTAGACCAGGCTCTGGAAAAGTTCACATTTAGAATAGTTGAGGTACATAGAACAATGTCCACAAAACAGCCAAAACAGTCTATACCAGAGATTAGCAAACAATGTCCCCCTACCTGTTTTGTACGTAAAGTTTTATTGGAACACAGCTACATCCATTTATATACACATGGTTTATGGCTATTTTTGTGCTGTAACTGCAGACATGAAGAGTTGTGACAGAGACTCTATGGTTCTCTGAAATACTTACTGTCTGGCCCTTTAAAATTTGCCAACCCTTGGTCTATAATAATATTCCTTGCTTGCTTTCTCCCAGCATTTGAAGAAACAAAGTACCTGGATATATATTCTTAATGGGATCCTAAAAGTTCTCAGTTTCCATGGGAAACCCCACTGGTAGTTTCCAGGGGCAGTTACCAGGCCATTTGTGCTCCTTCCTTCTGTGTGGTCAGCTTGGGCAGACAGTCCTTTGGGCCAGTCTAAACCTGATGGGAACTGAGGTTTGGTAACATAAACCGGCAAGTCTTTGTTGGGGCTGATGGCTCACTCAGGCAGCTTTCAATTAGGACATGCTCTCAAAGAACAGTAATTTTGTCACTTTTTAGGAGCAGGCCAGAAGATGGGCATGACCTGACAAAAGGCTGTTCAAATTCAAACCCTTCCCCCCCACCTTCTCTTTTCATAACTCTTAGGGTCTCAGCAAAGGAAGACTAATCTTTGGGATTACTCTTTAGGCCTTGTCTTAGTAAAGAGTTGGTTAAGTTTACCTGTTTTCAGGTGTGGTGGTGTATGAAGATACACTTCCTTCTGGAACACTGTGGGAGAACAAAGATAAATGTTAGCCATTTTCAGAAGGGGGTGGACAGGTTGCTTTACTTTCATCTGTTTGTCCTCCTTACTTTGTCTTGTAAGTTATAGGAGCAGTTTTGGATATTTAACAGTCCATGCAGTCATTTCCAAGGACAAAAGGAGAGTCCAAGTTTCTTTTTATTTTTAGTTGCTGACATTTGTAGTCCTGATTACATAATACCAAAGTCCTGGCTAACTCAACTTTCTCTAAATTCAAGGAAGCCTAAAACTTGCCAGTGTAAGGACTGGATCACAGGGAAGGGAACAAATCAAGTGGCATTTTTAGCTCCATTCCCACACCAATACCCTCCAAATGTACACTTCCAGTCTGGACCTCTCCTGGAAACGCCAACTCAGCTACCTGACTGCCTATTTGCCATCTCCTTTTGGATGTCTATCAGACATATCAGACTTAATATGTTCAAAGCCAAACTCCTGCAATCTTCCCCTGCTAAAGTCTTCCTCATCTCAGTAAATCACAATCGTAGTTGCTTAAGCCAAGAATTTTGGTATCTTCCTTGATTCATCTCTCAAACCCCACAATCCAATCCAAATCATCAGCAAAATTTTTTAACCTTCAAAAAAATCCAGAGTCTGAACACTCACCATTTCCATTGTTTCTAGTCTACATCAAGTTACCATCACCTCTATCTGGATTACTGAAGGTTCCCCAGTTTCCAATCTTACCATCTCTTCCCAAGTAGATGCAACAATACAGCAGCCAAAGTGAGCCATTTAAGACTTAAGCCAGGCCCTGTCAAACCCACCAATAACTTATTTCACGTATACTAAAGGCTAACGTCTTTAAAATGCTTAAAAAGCCCTACACAATCTACTCAACCCCTGTCCCTCATTTCTCATCTCATCTACTTAAAACTATCCTCCTTCTAATTCAACCAACTGGACTCTTGTTCCCTGAAGACACTAGGTATGCCTTTACCCTCTCTGTTCCTTCTTGAAAACTCTTCCTCCCAGACATGTGAATAGTGCCCTGCCTCACTTCCTTTAGGTTTTCACGTCAGTAAAAAACCACCTATGTAAAAGTGTGGGAGCTCTGGTGGCATAGTGTGCCTCGGGCATTTGATTGCTAACCAGAGGGCTGGCGGTTCAGACCTACCATCCACTCCTTGGAAGGAAGATTGGGCAATCTGCTTCTGTGTGATACTGCCTCAGAAACCCGAGGAGGGGTCTCAATGAGTTGGATCCGACTCAAGAGCAATGGTTTTTCTATGTCAAAGTGTAACCCCTACCTCAGCATTTTGTATTCCCTCCCCTATGTTCACCTTTTAACAAAATAAACTGACATCCAAAATAAAGGATATTACTCAGAAGACTGGTGTCTTACTTAAAAACTACCAGTATGAGACCAAAAAGTCAACAATTACTCAAAAGCAAAGATGAGAAGGGGGCAGGGAAATAAGAGTACTGGAAAGGGAACAAACTGACACGAAGAGAATGTCAAATGGGACCCTAACTTGCCATGTAAACTTCCATCAAAAGTACAACAAAATACTTTATTAAAAAAAAAAGAATGGCCAATTCCCACCCCACCAATTGTTGTCCAATTGGTTCGGCCTCCTGGGGAGCCTACAGGGCTGGGTTTCAGTGGTGGATTTTTCACAAGTAGAATTGCCAGGCCTTTCTTCAAAGGCATCTGTGTATGGACTGAAACCTCCAACCTTTAAGGTCAGCAGACTAGCATGTTAAACTGGCTGCACCTCCCAGGGAATGGAATGGAAGGCTAAGCCCAGAGGAAGAGCCTTAGTTGCCTGTCCCTGAGGACTGGAGACGCAATATCACTCTGAATGTTTCTCTGCAGGGCTGTCCTCCCTGGGGAATCCTCCTTTGCCTTCCAGTGCATGGGACAAGGCTTTCATCAGCAGTGGAGCCCTAGGTCAGAGGGCTGCACTGCCAAACGGGGCTGGCCTGATGCAATGGTTACAGAGAAATTCGTTGGGAGACAAGGGGGTGGGGGGACAGGCAGAGGCCAATCCCAAGGGAAGGACAACACACTGGGGGGGACCCCAAATGGCTTCCCACACTTAGGAGATCCAGGCTGCTCTCTTCTGTAGGAGGCCCAGGGTCCTCTGAAGGAAAGGGACAACTCATCTCTCCTAGTATGCGCACCCCTTCTGCCAAAGGCTTATGTCACTTTCCTTCAGATTCTCTTTAAGGTGGAGATTCCAGGAGTCCAAGTCACCAATGGCACTTGGGGCTGGGACAACATCAGGGGTGGGGTAGGGCCTCTGATGGCGAAGCAGCGGCAGGAGCCACAGGTCACCCAGGCTTTTTGGCGCGGGCGTTGTGTCCAGCCGCCCCGCCTCCCACCGGCAGGCCTAACTAGGAGGCCTATGGTCATTAAGTGGAGATAATGCGTTTCCCGAGGGCAGCCAGTGTCCCTTCACCCAACAGCACAGAACAGGGCCTGTGATTTGGGCAGGACGGGGGTAATGTCGTTCGAAGGAAGAGGGATCTGTAAGCACACTTCCGAATAAAGGATCCCCCTCACATCCCTCCCAAGGAGATCGCTAACTTCATTGTGGAGGGGGTGGGGCCACATCCTAAAAAAGTGATACCCTAACTTTGAGAGAACCACCTTCGAGGATTGGAGGGTAAGGCGCAGGTGGGGAGACAGTACTCACCTTTCTCCTCAGATTCCAACTCAGACTTTGGCTCTGTTGCTGCCACCCGTTCATCTTCAACATGTTACGCTCCAACTCTTACAATCAAGCCTCTGACCCCGGAGCGCAGAGCAGGGATCTTTTAATATGGCCTGGCCCTCCTTTCAGGGGCGGGATCCAAAAGCCTACCAATCAGAAAACTGCACGCCTGCACTGGCCCCGCCTCATTCCCTACCTCCGCCACTCAGGAGACCTCCGCAGTACCGCCCCCTTCGCTCCCTCCCGCTATGGGGTCGACGTACGGTTGGACCCGGAAGTGGCTTCGGGTCACGAGGTTTCACGGAGGCGGTAGGTGAGTCATGCGCGCGCGCGGAGGGGAGTATTGGAGTGGGGAGGGGAGGGAAGGGGGGCGGGGATGATGCAATGTTTGGCAACCAGTGTCTGTGAGCGCACGCGCAGGGGACAACGAGAGGGGTGGGAGGCACGGGGGGAGGGGGGGAATGGGGAGAGAAGAGGGCGGGGCGCCAGCTCCCGGCACCCAACGGCCCCAACGGCTATCAACCGTGGCTGCTTATAGGGCAGCCCGTAGACCTTTCTGCGTGTGTGAAGCCTAACTGCAGCTTCTCCAAAGAGCTGTTGTTCCCCCGACCTAGCTGCGGCCTCCGCTTTACCTCTTCGATAAGGGATTCGCATTTTCCTTGGCCCTTTCCTAACACATTAGGCCTTTTGAACCTCCCTCCTTTGAAAGTCTCCATCCACTCACTGGAATTTTCTTTTTAAAGAGATCTCCTCTCTTAGCTCCCGAACTTCAAAAAAAAGGGGCCATGATACTTGAATCACTTTGATAGTCATTTGCAGGTTCTCTTAGGAGGACACCCTTGACTTTATCTTTGTAAAGTTTTGATGAACCCTCAACATGCCAGAATTCGTGTTCTTTGCCCAGTGGACCACATGCTCAACGGATTCCCCGCATATCTTCTCCCAAGGCACTCTTGTGCTCGTCGTCACCAAAGACCATAGCCGCCCTTTTCACAGTGTCAGAAACAAGTCCTGTGAACCCGTCTGCTGTGAGGAGCAGGACACAGGCTCCTGCCTCCAAGTTGTTTGGGGCTGTGACCTACAGCAGAGCTTTGGGACATGTGAGTGCACTTGAACATATGACTGACTGCCTTGGGTGGGATGTCAGGAGCCCAGATTCCATCCTCAGCTGCCCCTCATTTGTCCAGGGATCCTAGAGCAGCCACCTAATCTGCACATGACTATTCTTGCTTGCAAATTAAAGATAAGTTTTAGATTTAAACGCCAAACTTCAGGTGTAAATAGGTAACCAATACATTTGTCTTTTTACTTTTCATCTTTAATGTCGATTTAAAAAATAAAGATAATGAGTTGTGAAGATAAAATGAGAGAACTATATGAACTTGGAAGCAGCTTGAACAAAAGTAAAAAGCACTATGCAAAACGCTAGGTATTTTTCTTGTGCCATTAAGTACAAAACAGAGACCATGTGGTGGCCTGTTACATATCCTACCATAATCTCATAGGGGCAGAAACTGTCACAAGGCCAGTTGTGACTGACTAGCAGGCCTAAGTGGTGTGGCAATGACAGGTTCTTGGCCAGGCTGCTCCGTCT